ATTCAGAAGATAAATTGCAGGCCTTTGCTGAGAACATTTGATGTTTTTGCTAGAGTAAAAACAGTTGCCTCATTCTTTTTCAAGTGATGCTTGAGCAGAAGCAGACAAGAGATAAGATTTCTAAAAACGTTTGATATGAAAGTACCAGTGTAGAACAACAGTACTGGAGGCCTTGCTGTGAGTAGTACCCCAACTTTTATATTAATGAAACAAATCCAATGGAAAGAGCCTTCACTGTTGATCGAGGAAGCTGGTGTTGTGCTAGAAAGTGTTTTGTAGCWATTGCGCCATTCCAAACCTCTACTAGTGTGTGCAAGTTGGAACTTGTCACTTAAGAGAGCACCTGGTAAGTCATGTCCTTTATGTTCTATGAGAAATCAAATGCCATGAAAAAGGTAGTGAAACTTCGCTTACCTATAGAGTGAAATAGATCTGTGGGTCTAATGAAGTGTATGAAATAGTTATACTATATCATTTAATTTGTCAGAAGCAAGGTGTGATGGTTTTGTCCAAACCAAAGAAATTGTGTTCAAAAATGTTAATTAACTTGCTTCCTGAATTTAGTTGAGGCTGACAAGCTCTTTAAGTAATGTGGAAAATGGAGAAATTCTTTCACTTCTYCTTTTCTTTGAAGAGCTCAGCTGAAATGTTCTTTTTTTTTTTTTTTCCTGAGATTTGTTTTCCCCAGAACTCTACCAAAAGAAAATTCCTGCTAATTCATCCTCCTTGGACAGATGTTTTGGCTCTTATGTCTTGATGTCGTCATGTGGCAGCAAAGTCAAAGGAACTTTTTTTTTCTTCTTTAGTCAGAGCATGTTCTACAGACGCTCTACAGGCATCCAGCACTACTCACAATACACCTATGTCTGTGGAAACTCATGGTTTTTGTGCTTGCCAAGGCCACCCTTGAGCACAACAAGTTCCAAGTTGTAGAGTAACTTAGCTGCAAATACTCAGTTATACAAGTTTGGTAGGAAGAAGCATGGAACATTGTTAAGCTTCTCATTACAGCTCAAATTACGGAGGTAGTAGGAAGTGATGCAACAAGAGCTTGCTCCAATTTTTATTTGTGCCAGCGTATTCAGTTGAGGCATTTCTGGCTTTCAGTACTTTGTTTTTTTTCGTTCTACCTTGTCTCTGCTTCTGGCTGCACTGTTTTTGCAGGAGGTTGCAAATGAAGATACGCTTTGTGCAGTGCGATATAACAGAATTGCTTTTGCTGTAGAAGATTCTGGCACCTTTCTGTTGCCATGATTTGTGAACCCGTCCCAGGATTAGAACTAGTTTGGCTATGTGGTGGGGAAGCGTGCAGACTGGGTGGTGCTGCCTGCAAAACCATTTAGATGCTTGATTGCATCAGTGTCCCTGTGGCAAACTGCTGCTCCAGAGGAGTTGCAAAGACAAAGGTAGGACCTCTCACAGTTGTAATTGTGGCTGCAAGAAAATGCAATGCTGCAGGCTATTGCAAAATGTGGGTTCGTGGACTGCAGTATTTTTATGACTATAAAACATCTTATTGTTTGAATATTATTTTTGGACTTTTGCTTGTTTCTTAAACATCCATACTTAAGCACAAATTTTCAAACCAGAATTTGAATCAGTAGTCACTAGAAAGTATCCTGGGCAGACCTTTTGCCAAAATCTAAATATATGAGAAAACAAACTATCTGATCAAGCGTAGTGGTTCCAGCATGTGCGGTAGAAGACTTCTGTGTTAGAATTATGTCTGTCCTTTTAGACAGAGGAAACAGAAATATCTGGTCTGCCKTAGTTGCAGTTTGTCTGCAGAGGTGAGCAGTTTCAAGAGATGGCGGCAAACATATTATTTGGTGAAACTATCAGTGCTGGAGAGTGATGTAAATACTGTAACGATATATTGTTATCAGGATATTCCTGGCTCATAGGAGACACCTGGTAAACAAGTAAATGAATGGCCTAGAAAATAGCTGTGATGCCTGGGAAATGGGGAAGCATTACAGATAAGGCTTTGTTATAGATGTGACCCTGTGTTGCTATTGATACCTTAYAGAAGTTCTTAGTTTGAGGTATAAGCGTGATGTTGTTAGAACAAAAGAACGTGGATTTGTTCCCAACTGCTTGAGTGTATATTTGATTTGTATAAAAGTTATGCCTGTTTTTTTTTAAATACTTTTTTTTTGTTTTCTGGGTACTTTCTACCTCAAAGCTGTCTGTTTSAGTCAGCTCTATGGGATGGAGTTACTTCCTACGTCAGGTCTTCTTTTGCAAGAATCTAGTTTAAGGCAAGRTGACTGCAGAAGCAAAACATTCCGTAATAGCTTTTAAAGTTATGAAAAATAAGCTCACTTTATGCCAGTGTAGAGATGTCTGTTAACTGTGATAACATTAAACAATAGTCTTTTCTTTCTGCCATCTTTTGATTTTTGGTGTTGCAGTGAGTTTGCTATTCTTTACCTGCCTGTCTGATCTGAGTTCTTACCTCAAAAATATTTGGCACAGGTAGTTAGGTTTGGCCATGGCTAGGCAAAATTATATTTGTGACTGATCAAAATATCAAGAATGAGAAAATCAAGAATATAGTTAAAGCAAATCTTTGCATAGAAAAATTATCAGAGTTAATACTTCCTTTTGGTCCCATCTCCTTTTTCTGTTTTTGAAATTCTTGGATGTTTGTATTAATTTCCCTGGTCAACAGCCTAACATGGTGAAAAGTTACCTTTATACTTAAAAATAAGTGAATTGCAGAGTAATACTTCTTTGTTCTCACTGCATCTCTTCAGTGCACATATGTTGTAGGCTGTTATTTTGATTTTGCATTTTTTTAATCTGCATTTTTCATCTATTTCTAGTTTGAGTTTGTCTGCATCAGCTACGAATCCAGCTGTATGAAGTTTAGGTATATAGTCACTCAAATGAATGCATTCCAGTTTAATAACGGATAAACCAAATTTTGAGGTGCTTTTCTGTAGAAGGAAAGCATATTATTTTCTCCTACATTTACTGAAGTCATAAGGAGATTCTACTCTTCTCTTAACCCTGCAGTGTGGTGTCTCTCTTTAAAAATATGAATAACTTTCTACTAGTGCTCTGTGGATATTCCCTCCTTTTATTTCTGAATGAATAACATAAATATCTAATTTTTACTATGCAGCAAGTGTTCTCCTTTCCAGCTGCATGGTACAATGGTAGACGATAACACAAATATGTTACACTATGTATATAAGCAGGAAAAATGATGATACCAAACTGGAGTAGCTGATAGCCCTGAGGGCTGCGCTGCCATCCAGAGGGACCTGGACAGACTGGATGACTGGATGGTGAGAAACCTCATGAGGTTCAACAGGGGCAAGTGCAGGGTCCTGCACTTGGGGAGGAATAACCCTGGACACCAGTACAGATTAGGGATGGACCTGCTGGAGAGCAGCCCCACAAAGAGGGACCTGGGTGTCATGGTGGACGACAAGTTGACCATGAGGCAGCAGTGTGCCCTGGTGGCCAAGAAGGCCAACGGGATCCTGGGGTGCATTAAGAAAAGCGTCTCCAGC